TCACTCTTTGTTCTGTTGTAAATAATCTTAACACTATTTTGGGTCATGTGAGGGAAATTTTAATTTTCATTTCCTAACATTTTTTTCTTTCCGAGATTATATTATCTCTTTTTAAGATGACACAATCAAGAATATTTTTTTAATACAATATGTGAGATGAAGGCTTGAATTCATAAACTTTTAGTCTAAGATAGATCTCTTAACCAATTGAACTATGTTCAAATTGGCTGACAAATATTTGTGGTGCATCAAAGTTATTCAACACATATCAATAACTAGTTGTAATTATGACACATATTACCACTGTTATTGATTAATAGATACAAAATATCTACAGCTCACATAAATATTTTTAATGGGTATCGATAGCTTTGGATACACTCATCAAAGGAAAAAGAAAAAGTAAAACAACAAAGATTTTCTTTTGTCGGATATTTTCTTGTGGGAAACCTTTGTCTAGACTTCTAAAATAAGCTCGTCTGATTTATTATAGGCAAAACTATCATTATTAGAAAAAAAAAACATTCAAATATATTAAATAGCTTTTTCATTCACTAACTCGATCGGTCAAAATATTATTTATGTTCCAAAAGGTCGACTCCACCCCTCGTTGAACTAAAAAAAAAAATTATTCCCTAAGTAAAATATCCCTCTCTCTTGTAATTTTACTTTTTATACCTGTGATTGACTAAGCTAGTTTACACACATCTTTATTAATTGCACGAGACTATTAAGCAGATAATAATAAAACATTTCATTTCCTACCCTTTTACTTTTTTTCATTGGCCTAATCATAACTTAGTTGACTAATGATGGCTATTTAAATTAATTCTATCTTTAAAAGCATATTAAACATTCCTATGTTGGTAAGAGACAATAGGAATCCAAGGTGATGCAGGATATAAACTTCATACGGTGACGTTTTGTATGTATGGCATAAAGGCATAAGCGAGTCAAGTTGAAGAAAATGAATATAAATTTGGTCTGATGATGCCGACCTGAGTATAGCTCAACTAGTTAAAGCATATATCATCAATCAAAAAGTCAAAGGTTCGAATCCCACTCATATTTTGTTGAATTCAAATAAAAGAAGTTTGGTCTTATGGTGCATCGAACAATAATCAACTTTTTGGAGTTCAATACCAATAACTTGTCACATCGATTTCTTCTTCTTGCTTCTCACGAACAAAAAAGATATTTCATTGAAGATAACAGTAAAACTTTTAAAAATATAAAAAGCTATGTTAAAATCGAGATTAAAGCATGGGGGAAACTAAAAACAAAAGAAAATTTTAATCCATTTGGCGGAGAGCAAGCACTAGAAAAGAACAAATCCTGAGTAGTCACTCCTATAAAAACAAACTTAGAAATTTGATCCATTTTTGCTAACTGGTAAAGGATTCTAAACACTCTACATATATCACCATCAATGATTGAAATGGTTCATTTGGGTCCTATTTTCCTACCTAGAAAAAGTTAATATCAGAAACATTCAATCACTTTCAATAGAATTTTAAGATGTTTCATCACAACCAAAGAAACTGATTCATTTACACAAAAGCAGAAAACAAAATAGCAGTAGGAGGTACAGACTTACTAATTATGAGGACAAATTTCTTTGCTAGCTTTCAGGAAGTACCAGATTTTTGGAGAAGATGAAACTTTGGCTTACACCAAAGACGTTTGCTATCTTCATAACGACAGATTGCGATGTTGCAGATGTCGGATCGATAAATGAGGGCAAGGTTGGCACGCACTTGGGGACGAATTCCTTCTTATTGAAGGTTGGTGCGTAAAGTGCTAGCACGGTACGACAGAATATAAATCTGGAAAGAGGAATTTAGTGTAAAAAAAACAATGATTTAAAAAGCGTCTCAAGTAAGGCAAGAATCACACATCTCCTCTTTCAGTTTCTACGAGATCAAACTACCAAGATCACTTTCACATCATATCAAAAGTTAACTTGCCAGATTGTTTCACATAGTAGTTAGTTAGAATGAATGTTCAAATTGTGTGTATAGATTGAACATCTTTTCAGTCAACTTATTCTAAGTATTTAATCCTGTCATCTTCTTGCTCAGCCTATTTTACCCTGCTACTCCATTTTCCAACTTCAGAATTTTTCTCTCTATTAAGTAAATTGCAAGCACCTTTAACCCCAGAGCTCATCGATTTTTTTTACTCTGCATACATCAGTTTCAGTCACGCAGTTAACCATAAGTCTCCACCACCATTGTGGTCATCTAAGATAGCAGTAATTGCATGCCAAGAATTCAAAATATTTACTGGCATAAGGCAATAATAAAGTGGTAGATCTTACCTCAGGAGAAGCCGCCTTATGAATGGATCATTCAAAACCTGTGCCCAAACTTGATTAAGGTTCTCTGATGTCGCCAAAGACTGCCCCCACTCATTTAATGACGAGGACAGCATGCTCTCAGCTTTACTAAATGTATCCTAAACATTTTGTTTTTTGTAAATTTTTTGAAATGAAGTGCCAATTATCAAGCATGACATGAGAGGAGATTTTACCATACCATTTCAACTTCAGAGCCCGAGATACCAAGCAATAGACAGAAAGCATGCAATGGAGCTGTGAGAAAAAGGGTGAAAAGGCTTCCATTTGCATGTCGAGAATATTCGGTAGCAACAGTATGACTAGTAGTGCTGGAAGACAACAGCATTGCAGCTGGCTCTCCCTTTTCTGCTCCATGGATAGCCTGCGCACATTTAGAAAAGTGAATTCCTTTGGTATAAAAGATGATAGCATTATGTGTATCATTGTATAATGGGACTAGTCAATAAAATTGAAGACTAACTTCTGGAGCCAATGCATAAAATAGTAAATATGAATCACTTCAAGGTTAATATACTAACCTCAAATGCTTCACTGGCATCACTATCAATAACTAAAAGAAAAGGCCTTCTGGTAAATGGAACTAAGTCGCTTGGATAAATGCAGCTTAGACCTGGAGAGGACTATAAGTGATCAGCAAAAGCAACTCTTCACCAATGAGAGTATTTAATGTGAAAGTTGAGTTGTTAAATGGAAGGAAAAAATTAGTTTTTTAATATATTTTTCAGATTCGCAGTCAATAACTAAAGGAAAACAGCCTTTTTGTAACTAATATTAAGTGAATGAGATTTATGCAGCTTAATCCTGTTAAGGATTATAAGGGATCAAAGGCTCGAAGCAAGCAATTCATTATCAATCAGAGTAGTTATATAAATTGAGGTATTAGATGAAAAGATAAGCTAAGAAATAAACTTGACGTTAGAGGGCTAATCGTGTAACTTTCTCGTGTTTTAATGTCATTAGTTGACACATAATTGTTAACAGATAGGCTTATTGATATAGTTTGTACTTTTCTAAGCTAAAGTTAGCTAACTGCTAAGTTAGTTGATAAACTCTATAAACAAGATGCTTTGTCTCTGTTACTATAGCCTTCTTTTTAATGAAAAAGGATATCTTTCAACTATTTTAGATAATTCCAACCCCTAGACTGCATACAAGTTCCTTCCGTTTACTAGCATACTTATAAATAATATAGCCGACAAAAAATGAAAATAATTGATGTGGGGAGAAAGGTGCAAAAAGACTAGATGTCCTAAAATACCAAAAAAGCATAAAGAAATTTCATGTACACTGCAGACTATGCAATCCTCAAATACGTGTATGCCTCTCCTTCCAAATAAACCTGATGCGTTTTTCTAAAAATAATAGCAACAACTATCTGTAAAAGAAATAAATGAAATCCACATCACTGTGTCAGCCAACCATGCCTTGTTACTGTCGAACATGTAGCATGCTTCACAAGAGCAAAAGATAATCACTCCCAAATAACTTTACCCATATTGATTCTAAATTCAATCCATGAACCAATGAAAAGATCTTCAACTAAGTTAGGCACATCTAGTAAAGTAGATGAGATTTTTTCCTTACAGGAGAAGGAAAGTAAGATCCATAAAAGCTAGTTGGCCACTTCTAAACAAAATAAAATTTCTGCTGCATCTTCATTTTGAAACAGTTATAAATAGGACACTGCCCTCCAACTTGCAGATAGTAAAGTACCTCCTTTTCCACGAGTACTGAATGATAAGCAACCAGCTTGGGGACCTATGCAGCCTCCTTCAACTTGTCTACAAGGAGACCTGGTTTTATCAATGTCCTCTGCATTGTTGATAGACTCACAGCCTATTTCTGTGCTAGCTGGGGAAGATAAAACATTCTTTGCACCACCTGAGTAGTTTGACATTGAGGGAAATATTGCAGTTCTCAGTGAGTAGTACAAAGAATAAACTACATAATTTAGAAGAAACCACTCAACCTGAAGCTGACAAATATATCAAGAGAACCCCATCACTTGGCATCTCCTCACAAATTGTAGCTAGAACCTGAAAAATAAATCACACATACTTGAGAATATAAAACCCTTACCCAACTAGTATTTTCAATTAAATATGTTCAGTAATATGCCCTAGTGGACAGTCAATACTCAGTAAGTCAATATAACAAATAGAACCATTTAACAAAGTAGTAGGTGTATAGAAAGTATGCTTATCATACTAACTGCTAAAAAATGTGTCACTGAAGGACGGTATAAAATAGACTTCCGAGGATTAGAAGGGAGAGTAGGATCCACAATATCCTGTGTGAAGTTACTGCGACTTGGCCCAGAGCCACCATTCTGCCCACTTCTATTAACATTTGGCCGATAAAATGAACCACTAGGTTCCCATTCCAGGCTTTGAATCATCCTGAAAGTGTCTAGCGTGAGCTCTGTAAACTTGACCTGATCAAGAACCAAAGAAGGAAAGATGAATAATCACAAAATATTACATGGATTATGTTGGATTTTTCTGAAATAACACCATTAAAGCACTTCAAGAAAAAACATATTTTCTCTTTAAAGCAAGGTAATAAGAAGGTTTCAATACCTAACCTCATTATGATGGTAGCTACTCAGAATAGCATCCTGTAACCTCAAGTATCTCTTAGTAAGTGGTGGAGAAACAGGCGTCAGAGAATCTGGATGAGGCTCTAACACAACACTATATCTGAAAGGCCTGATATTCATAAAGGCGGCATCTGCTTTAAAAAATTTCATTATTTCCTGAACTACCAGCTTCCATTCTCTAAAGTCCGTTTCCTAGAACAGCAGCCCAGATTCATTATTCGTTCATATCAGATCCAAATGATAAGTCAGCAGCCATTGATGAATTTGAGCTAAATAAATTTACAAAAACAATAGAAAGAGATAGTAAGCAATCCCAATCACATTTAAACGATATCTTTTCTTTACACCTTGAATGAAATATATGCATATTCATCAGGTAAAAAGAAAAAAAAAAAGCAAACACCAGAACATGAAAAAGTTGAATATGCAAGAATAGAACGGGAAGAGGAAGAAAAGAAAACACCAGGAACGTAGAAAAATGCATCGAAAAAATAAAACAGGCATCGGCTTAAAATTGTAGAATGATACATTACAAGAAACTATCACTTTAAACAATTAACTCCAGCACTCCACAGATAAAAACATTGCCCTTTGCCATAAAAATGAACTAATTATGTCAGATATGCAAGAATGTGATCAATTTCAAACTATAACCGAAATTCGGATACTGCCATATAGAAGATGCAGTTCCAGTAGAATTTCTTACGTCTGGGTTAGTTTAGACTATGTAAGGTGAAATAGAAAATTCAGACCATAAAGCCCAATTGGTGAAGCTAATACAATCACAAGCAACTCAACTCTATATTCTAATCCATTCCTTCAGCACTATCACCTTGCCCACAAGTCATAACCAAGAACTTAGAGCGAGATAAGTAAGAAAAACACCTGGAATGTCCTCTTGCACTCATCGAGCAACATTTTAAGCTGATTAACCAATTGATGCACCATTTCTCTTCGGTTCAAAACGAGGCACACCATTAGAAATCTGGACAGAAATCTCAACTGCTTGTTCGCAAGACTGACGTCTTGAAACAATCCCTCCTTGAAGTACTCTCGAGTCAATATTGCTTCATAAAATACGTAAGACTCGGACAAGTAGCTCGCCTCACTGGTCCTCATGTATTGCCCAAAGTAAAGCTGAGCAATCCGTGACGCAATCTCGCCAATCTCCCATCTCTTCAGCCCTGCCTCTACCAATTTCTGACGATTCTCTTGCTGAAATTTCCACAACTGTGTGTACACTTTGAACGCCTTGTGAAAATACGCATCATACCTGCAAACGTTCAGAGCCAAATTGCCCAAAATTCACTATCCAATCTTCACGAAATTAAAAGTCGTAGGAATCGCAAAATATTATCGAACGATACAACGGGAAAACCAATATCGATCAGAATTGAGATTGTTCAATTCTTCAATTGATGAAAAATGGACCAAATTACAACCTCTGCCTAGCATATTTTCAGAAAATTACAGCAGCACGTAAATGAATCAAAACATCCAGATAAGAGTTATCATTCCGTTCATCATATTTGATCGACTTCTCCCGTAAACCAAACAATCGACTTCGAAAATATCAAATTGAAGAGCGGAAAAAAAACCTATTGCGCTCGTAACAAGGCAGGTCCCTGATCTTGGAGAACTTCCGGTCAGCTTTGTCAACCAGAGACCAGTACGCTTCGCTCACTGGAATGCTAATGTTGCTGCTACTGCTATTCGCCGGATTTCCCGGCTGCGACATCTTCGCCGAGCTCGGAGTTTCGCTGTATAGTTTCACCTGAAATTCTGTCTGTTCTCAAACCAAAACGATTAGTTTTTGAAGAATCGATGAGTTCCGCGATCTTGAGCTGTGCCTCCGGCGGTGGTCGGAGGTGGTGGAGCGAGTGAACGGACGACTTCAAACCGGCAAATTCCGGCTTAATGGAATTTCCGGATTCAGAGCACTGACGCATTTACCGGAAACCGGAACGACCGGTGGCAGAATATGTTCCCGGTTTATTTTATCTACGATTATTGTAAGAAAAGTCCAACTTATGTATATATATATATATATATATTTTTTTTTTTTTTAAATATCAATTTTATTTTAGTACTTGTTTAAATGTTTAATGTTAAATTTCTAAGTTTAATTCATGCATTTTTTTATAAACAGTAGTATGGATGTGTTAGGGTTTATGATCATGTCGTTAAGTTATGTGATCTTCCTACACAATTATCAAACTCAGTAACGATGTGAATTAGTATCGTAATATTATATTTCATATTGATGTATTAGATTTATAATTGTAATTTATTATTTATTAGATCACACTATATGATTGGTTAACTTTAGGTATTTAAATTTTTTAAAAGTTAAAACTTAACAAGTCAAATATTAAAGGTGAGTAAAAACAATTTTTATTTTGATAATTATTATTATTGTGTTACCTAACATTTACTACTTAAATCTCAATCAACCTAACGTATCTTTAATTAATACATACACACGTTATCAATTCGAGCATAATTTAATTAGTCATGATATTACTTATCTCTCTAAATGTTGAAAGTTTCAATTCTCTATCATTTGTCGAGCGTAGAATAAGAAGAAAACAAGAAAAGGCGAATACTTTAATGAATATTTCAAATTCATATTATCCATATGTCCAGGGGTGGATGTACGTAGGGCTCAGCCCCCGAACTTTGTAAAATAAGAATATGTATGTAAAAATTCAAATTCAATTTTAATATCTACTTTTGGCACAACGACCGTCACTTCACTCCGTCACTTCACTCCATGCCTGTATATATTACAATCAAAATAGATTAAAAAAAGTCAATTTTACTTTTATAAAAGAAAAATAGGTTATAGATTAGGTTCATTTTAAAAAAAGAAATTAAAATTTTTTTATACAAATATATCATTTTTTTTAATTTTACAATCAAATATGTATGATTTTTTTAAAAAAAATTGAAAAAGAAGAGAATGTATAGGTTGGTAAGACTCATTTTCAATTTATACATTATCGTTAGGTATTTTTCAAAATTAAATTATTGTATTGATTTTTTTTTCTTCTTTAAAATCATAATTTTCATATTCAATTGTTCTTATTTTGTATAGTTTTTAATTTCAATTTTGCATAATCTAAAGAAGTCGAAAATTTGGAGATTCATTATCTAAGGTAAATTTTTATTAACTTTACATCTTAAAATTAAAATTCATAGTATATAACTTTACATCTTATATATTATGAATTTTACTGTTTGACGTTATTTTAAATGTAATAGTTAGTAAAAGTGTGGACTAAAATATAAAATTGTCATGTTTCAACTACTTTTAAAAGTTTAGACTATAATATAAAATTGTCGTGTGTACAATAGAATTATTATCATTCATCTTTTATGTGTTTAACTTTTTATTTTAGATCTAAATAGTGATACTATAAAAGAAAAAAAAAATCGATGAAGTCATCATCGTGAAAAAATTACCTAAATAAATTTAGAAAAATTATCTACAATAGTATAAAAACTAGAATGATGTAATATTCAATACCAAGTTTGTATAGCATATTTAGGAATGACTTATTTGCAAACTAGTATGAAGCCTTCTTCAACAAAATTTCTAGATCCGCCACTGCATATGTCAAACAATTGTTAACAAAATAACGGTAGAAACTAAAATGATTATTATTTTTTAATTAAGGATAAAAATAAATATATTAAAAGTTAAAAACTATAATTGAATAAATTTGAGAGTTTTTACTGACTCAAAACACACTCTTTTGAAAATTCAATGACAAAATAAAATAATCTCAAAATTTATGAACTAAAATGAAATTTAAATATTAATGAAAGGATTTAATATCTCATCCATATTTCAGGCTTCCAAAAGTGATATCCTTTGTCTCTAACTCTAACTTAGCCAGCTGTTGATTAATAATTCAATTATATTTTCAACAATATTAGTTTAATTGTCCCCCATGTAATAAATTAATAAATATGAACAAATAAATTAAAAAATATAGATTAGATGACATGCACAAAAATGGTTCACCAAGATTTTTGATGTGTGTGATCAATTATTAGCTTTTGGGGTTTGGTAATGTCACTTTCAAACCAATAATAAAATATAATAATAATAATAAATTAGAAAAATAAAAAAGCTTAGGACCATTTGATAACTATTATTTTTTTAACTTTTTTTTTTTACTTTGAAAATTAAGATGATAAGTACTACTTTGTTCTTTCGTTCGTTGTCTAGTTTTCAAAATTGGCAAAATTTTTTCAAAATTAAAAGCCTGTTAGGTTTTTTTTTTTTCCTTTTTTTTCTTCTTGTCTTATGGTTGGAAAATTAAACTTACAAACACTATATATACACTTGTATGTTTCTTTCTTTTTTTAATTTATTTAAAAATATATTTTCTAATTCTGAATCCAATTTTGAAACTAAGAAAATATTGTTTTTCGTTTTTGTTTTTTAACTTTTGACTTAGATTTTGAAATTGTTATGAAAAATTAGACAACAAAACATATAAACATATATGTAGGAATATGGTTTACAAGCTTAATTTTAAAAAAGAAAAACAAAATGGTTACTGAACAGAGTTTAAAAAACAAATGACTCGTTTACTAACGTTTTTGTTTTTTATTTCTTGGAAGCATCTGACAACTATTTATGTTTCTTGTTTCCATTTTACAAAGACGTTCTTAAAATTGTATAAAAATTTTGGAGACAATAAATAAAATATTTTTTTATGGTTCATGTTTCCAATTTGTTCCATATATATATATATATATATATATATATATATAATTTTATCATCGTTAAATTCATGAGTGTTCTTTTCAACAAAAGAAAAAAAAAACAAAAAAGATTCGTAAGTGTAAGAGTGGAGCTATCTCATTCTAGTTTTTTATTATTAAAAATAAGGGAGCAAAAACAAGAGAATGTCAAACAGGCTCAAAGATTTTTAATTAAAAACTATTTTTTTTTATTATTGAAATTTAGCTAAGAAGTAACTAGAAAGTGTTTACAAGAAACAAGATTTTTAATTAAAACCTGTTTTTTATTTTTTAAATTTAGCTAAGAAGTAAGTGTTTCCAGTAAACATAAAAGACATATACCAACAAATTTGTGAGTAAAAACAGAAAACTTAAAAATTAAAATAAAACAATCATCAAACACAAGTCCTATATTATATCGAATTTTTTTTAAGTACAATAGATAGACTAAGAATATTAGAACTCATGCCTCATTAATGAGAGATAAATGTCAATTATTGTTGAGTTAAGTTCATGTTGACTCAAATATTTTTAATCTATACAGAATTTCAAAACGCCCTTTAAAAAGAATTAAATTATAATTAAATGAATTTTAAGTTAATTTATGAAGATTAGTTGAAAATCCTTTCAATTATAGGACCAAATATTAAAACATATTCTTAATTAGATAATTAAAAACAACACAACAACACATTTCTTTTTATCCACTTATATTTATATTTTAAAATGCAAGTTTTATTCAGGTCTACAAATTGTTGCACTTAATTCATTTTGATCTTTATAAATTGACTCTAACTTTTACAAAAAAGATATATCTTAGTCTTTGACATTAAAATTTAATATTGCCCTGAAGAAAATCTTATGTTCCATCATATAAATTTCATAATTTATAACTTCTTTTAATTTCATAATTTATAACTTGAGTGTGCCATGTATCCAATATTTTAAAAACTGATGATATAAAATTTCTATTTACTATAAAAAAAAAAAACGAAACAAAGTTGATAAACACAAAAATGTTTAATAATTTTAAAATAAAATAAAAGTATAACTCTCGTATGAATTTGTTAGAAAGAATTTGAGTCTGAATTTTAAAAATTTTTAATCAACTTCCCTTTTTTTTTTTTAAGAATTAATCCATAAACTTCCAAGTTATCTGTTTGAATTTCTATTTTAATTTACAATCTCAAAAATATTGGTTGTAATGATTAATATTATACAAACTACATTTTGTCTTATTTGATTTATATTTAAATTTTTAGGGTGGGTATGTTTCAAGAAGTGACAATTTGTTTCTCGGACATTGTTTCAAAAAGTGACAATTTGTTTACCGAACATTTGAAAATAGTCTGAGGTCCAGTTAGTCACTCTAATAGAACGTTGACTGGGATGACGAGTTTTATATTTGTTTATTTTATATTATTTTAAAATTAGGAAAACAACAAAAACCAACCCACATTGATTCACCGTTGTCTTCTCACCCCACAATAAACAAGGTTTCTCCCATCTCCATTCTTACTTTTCCTTTTAATTCATCTTTCTGTCACACTCTGGATCAATGAATTTGTACAAAAATAAACTCCTTTTCCTTTTTGGTGTACTTATTTTGAGACAACAGATAATTTCAATCCCATAACAGTTTGGACTCGACGTTCTGTTCTTGAGAGCAAGAGAGAGATGAGAAAAAATTATATTTAAAATAATATAAAAGAAATAAATATACAACTCATATCGAAAGTTTAACTCCAGAGACTAGAACTATTTTTCAAAGGGTAGGATCCAATAGATACATACCAAAAAGTATATTTTATTCTAAATTTTTGAAGTTTGAATTTAAATTTTAACGACTACCTAAGTTTTGAGTTGACCCAACAACCAAACATATATACCAAACATAAATATTTAAATTCAGAAATTAAAGTAAGAACTTATTACTTATGTTTATTATTAAATTTCAAAAACAAAATCTATAAGAGAATGTAAAAAGAATAGGAAAAAAGAAGGGGGAAAAAAAGCACGGGAGGCAAAAGGCAGGAGACTTGTCTGTTTCCCGAAGCTGAGCCACTGCTTTATTTCTTTTTTATTTCCTCTGAAATATAAACCCTGCAAAACTTTTCCTCCGCCGCCGTCCTCCGCTCCACTCTGCTTGAAGTTTGAACCAGAGCAACTTCTCCGGAGGCTCGAGACTTGGCAAGATCTGCTTCCTCGGCAGATTCCGCCTCATGGACTCCGTCGGAATCCCCGATCCCTCTCCGCCCTTCAATCCGTTCAATCTCAAGGACTGCTCTCAAGGAATCTGCACCGCGTTCTGCCCGCAGTGGTGCCGGTACGTGTTCCCCCCGCCGCCGCCGTTTTTCGGCCTCGACGACAGCGACGATTCCGGAACCTTCTTCTCGCCTCTTATAGTGGCGGTGATCGGGATCTTGGCTAGCGCCTTTGTTCTAGTCACTTACTACGCGATCGTCTCGAAATATTGCCGGCGGAGAGTCGACAGCGGCGGCGGCGGTGCGGGCGGTGGACCGGGAGATTATTTCGAGACGGATCGAGCGATGAACGATGCGCGGCGGCCGTCCGGTGCGGGACCGGGATTGGACGAGGCGCTGATTAAGTCGATCTCGGTTTTCAAGTTCAAGAAGAACGAAGGGTTGATCGAAGGAAGCGATTGCTCTGTTTGTTTGAGCGAATTTCAGGAGAACGAGAGTTTGCGATTGTTGCCTAAATGTAGCCACGCTTTTCATCTTGTTTGTATTGATACTTGGTTGAAATCCAACTCCAGTTGCCCTCTCTGCCGCTGCAATATCGCCTCCACGAATCCTAATCCTCCGGAGACTCCGCCGCCGTCCGTGACGGCGCTAGGGTACCGCCACCGCAGCGACGCGGCCGTTGTGGTGGTTCAAGATCCGTCCGAAAACGTAAGCCAGGAGGCCGTCGTAGTCGAAATCATCGGCCATTCAATTTCAAATCCATCGAATCAAGATCAAGGAGGTTCGAATTCCAATCCGCCGAGTTCAGAGCAAGGAGACGGCGGAACAGAGAGAAGAGAAGAAACCGTCCGGTCGATTAGGTCAGTTTCAGAGGATCAACAGTCTTCTGATTCTCCATGTCTAGGCCGAAATCTCTCTGTTGCAGACATATTGAGCATCAGCCATGACGAAGACGAAGAGGTCGAAGCTGTGGATTCATCCATGGCGGCTGGAATTGGTCCATCGAACGACGACGGGAAAGAAACCGGAAAATCCAGAATCAGAAACGGCGTTTTGAATTCCGCCATGAGAATGTCGATTCCGTCTGGAATTTTTTCGTTTGCAAAGCATGCGAAAGGGAAGAGCTCGAATTTACCGAATTGACGTCCGAAATTTTCAGAATCAAAGCTTGAAGAAAAATCATCTGAAAGCCTTATTGAATCTGTTCAGATCAGACTGCAAAAACTGCAACAAAATTTCCACAGTCAAGATTGTCGGTTTGGACGGTTCTGATTTTTGGCCTTTCTGGTAATTTCCAAACTTATAGTTATTGATAAATCAGGTCCCAAACTTAGAGCCTATTTGTAATTAAGGCCCTTTTGATCAATTCTATAAATTTTAAAATTGATCAATTATATATATATCATTTTTGGTATAACAACTATTTTGATCACTTCTCTACTTGTCAGGTGATCTCTGTACCATCAAAATGTTTATTTTATCCATATATTTGTAGTTTTTGTTCGTTCTAGTTAATATATACTTTTAAAGTGTTTATTTTGATTTTTATACTCTTAACATGGATATTTTTTACTATTTATTATATTTTTTAATTTCTTAAAATTTTAGCACGACAATTTTTGATGTGTATCGAAATTGTGTCTAAATTTTGCAAGCAAGAACTAAAATGATCATTTTTAAAAAAGTACCAAAATCAAAACAGATAACCAAAAAATTATGGGGAAGAAAATAGCAAAATTTGAAAATACATCGACAAAATATAATTTAAACTTTTTTTTATAGTTTTTAGTGGTCAAATATTTGTCAACGAGTTTACTCTTATGCTTACTATAAAGTTATTTTTGTCAAGGTAAACAATGGGTCAAACATTTTAATCTTTATTTGGAATGTGACATTTTTCAATAAAGAACTCTCATTTCAATTATTACGGAAACAAAGTTCCATAAGTAATATCTAGTCTAGTGTTCCTAATATTTTATATAAATCAAATTAGATTATTGCATCATGGATAAAGAGTAAAAGTTCGAATTTATGGCCTACGAATGAGATACAAATATTTAAACATAATTGACTTTTTAGTCGAGATATATATCTTATCAGGCGAATAAATGAATGCTATATTGATCATTGTATGAATAATAACTTTTTAATGTTCAATACTAGTATATAAAATATAACACTAAATATTTGTTGATGAAATGCAAGTTAATAATTTAATTAAATGAAAGTATATATAAAGTTACATATAATTGTTGTGAGTCCATTCAGACCAGAGATTATTTACGTCCTCACAATGATATGATATTGTCTCATTTAGACATAATCCTTACGACTTTGCTTTTGGTTTCACCCAAAAAGTTTTATACTAATGAGGATGTTATCCCTCATATAAATAGTAGAATTTATTAGTAATTTTTTAAGTAGAATTTTTTAGTAATTAAAAACTTAGTAGTGGGGTATAACATTTTAACCATTTTGTAGCAATGTTACAAATAAAACTAGAAGAATCCCAAAGGTTAAAAAGTAGAAATTCTTGAATTATAATAATAGAAATAAATAAAATTTGATATTTGCAAGGTTTGCCCTTAAAAAAGAAGATAATTGCTCCAAGTAGTTGGTAGGTCACATTACTTTTGCTAAAAAAAATAATAATAATAAAAATAAAAAATAGAAAAAAAGTTTCCCCATTATTGGGGATTTGGATTGGTTGGTGTGTGTGACCTTGGTACTTTATGTAAGCTTTACTAAACCCACATCATTGGCCTTGCTTCTTAGCTAATAAATAAACTCAATAGAATCATTTACCTCATTATATTTCTAATTTTAAAATTAGACTAAAATAATTTGCAATTTTTTAATTCAAATTATAGGCTAAATATTTATAATTTAAGGTTAAATGTTTGTGTTATTTTTCAACTTTAGGTTATTGTTTACTTGTATTGATTTTTTTAAAACAAGTTCTTGTTGTTGCTGCGAAATATTATCAATCCACCAGATGAGATGATTGGTTGTTAACTCTATGTTTTTAGTTGTCAATTCGAACAAATTTCATTGATAAGATACTTATTATCATTTCAAAGGTCAACAGTTCAATTTGCCACCTCCACAATTTATCGAACTAGAGAAAAAAACCTATGTTTTTGGTTTGATGAAGTAGACATGTCCACCTATAAAATTGATAATTTATCTCATATGAACTAAAAATCAATTTTGATATAGTTTAAAATGAATCAAGTTGAAAGAATAAGACATTTAATACCATCTCAAACGATAAGAATTCCATCTCTAAATTTTGGAATTTTTGAACTATAAACTTATTACTTTTGTGATACAAGAACTTAATTGGAAAAAATTCAATATACTTGGGGATAAAATTAAATTTGTTACCATTTAATTTCTTAATTTTATTATTTTTTTGTGATATGAAATAATTTTCAGAAAAGGGAGTTCTGTGTATATTCTGAGTCAGCGTAAGCCCTTTGTATAATAGTGTAATATTAGGTAAAGTAAAAAGACATCGTCAAAGAAAAAAAAGGCTAAGGATTTTCTCTTTTTTTTTTCTTATAAGGAATAAATTTAGAATAGAAATAAAACTCAAACAAAAAGCAAAAAGAATACACGTAGATTGGAACAAGAAAAAGTAAAGTTTTAAAAATAAAAGAAGAGAATCTCAACAAACAATCAAATAAAGTTAAATAAAAAGAATCCAAAAAAGATAAATACATAGAAATAAATAAATAAATAAGTCTTTGTCAAAGTTTTAAAAAGGAATAAGACAAAAGAAAAAAACAAGTGAATATTAACCTGAGAGGGAGAGTAGTAAAGAGACATAGGCTTTGTAATATTTAATTCCCAATATATTCTAAGATAGTTGATTTAATGGTTATTAGATTAATTTTAGTTGTCGTTTTCTACAAAACAGAGTAAGCACTCCGATGCTATAAAGTCACCAAATTTCCAAATCAACTCAGGAGAGAGAATTGAGTTGTTCGCGTACCTCGAAATGAAGCGAAATGATTTTGTTTATAGGCGACTTCCCCAACAACCATCCCGACAGCGCCTCAACGATTTTTTAAGGTTGTCGTGAATCACGGAGTGTTGTCGTGGAGTCTGTCGGAGTCTGGGGCTGAGTCGAGGTGAACCTAGATCGTTCAGCTAAATTGATCAGAGTGAACCTGAATGAGCTTAGATTGGCTCGGCCACGCAAGGCGTCCGTTTGGGCACATTCATGTGATCGAAGTTGATGAAACTTGGAGATTAATAACATCTGTCATGCGTACTGTTCGTGATCCAACCAACGTAGGTCACGTGTAAGGGTGAGAATGCCTTCCAACATTGGCCCCCACTATACTGAGGCGCTCAGGTCAGTTTAGTGTTACTGTTAGAGAAGATGATCCGCGAGGCATCTGACCAATCAGATGTAATATGAAGGGTTGAGCTGATGTAGGGTGATGTCACTACCAACTGTCTTTTGACGGGATTGAATCCTGGCCATTGATTTCGAAATCGACGGACGGCTGAGATGAAGTTCCAATTTTCTATAAATAGGGAGATTCACTTCTTCATTTGTCCACACTTTAATCCGTGAATTCTCTCAACTTTTCTCTCATTCCCAAGCTTTCTTCAGCTTCAAAAATCCATTTTGGTCAATCTTCTCATTTATTTCTTTATGAGTGACTCTTCCTCGGAATCAAGTAGAATAATCTTCAAGATCTGTAGTAATCTAGGTGAGGGTACCTCACGGCTTATGGTAGAGCCAGCATTTAGGATAGAGCCGAACCAAACTATGGAGGGGAATATAGGTGCTTCAACCTCTGGTCGAGTCGAGCCTTGTCCCGAACTTCCTCCCTCAATCTATACCGAGGCAGGCCTATCCAAACTTACGGAAGCTTATAGGATCCCTGACAGTAAAAATATGTGATTATCTCGGGTTGACGAGAGTTTAGATGACCCTCGGTCAAGGTGGGTAGGTCTTTATCCTCAAATATTCGACCGTGGGCTTCGTTTCCCCCTGCACCCTTTTATCCAAAAATTCCTCTCGGCCACCAACCTAACCCTAGCTCAGCTAGCACCGAACGGGTGGGCCACTCTGCTCGGTCTGTGGTTCACTTGGTGGAGCTTTAGTGCAGGCGAGGATGGTTTACTCTTAGATGTACGATAATTCTTCCCCACCCACATCATCAAACCCTACAAAGAGTATCCGGGTCGGTATTACATATCGGCTCGGAATAGCTTCAGCAAGATAGTGGACTCTCCCTCAGCCAATAATCACTAGCGGGATAAGTGGTTCCTCGTCTCGGGTGAAGGCTCATCACCAGGGACGAAGAGCCATTCTGTCAGGTCCCTAGTGAGTTCGGAGAGTTAGGTACGTATATGTCGAGTCGATCATCATAGGGAGTTCAGCTCATGCGTTGTTGATGTTTTGCATCGTGCTTTCTTATATATATATATAGTGATCTAACACTCTATTTGTATAACTGTACCTCAACTCGCACCTCGGATTAAAGAGCACTCAGAGGAAATCAAGAGTCGAATCGTGTGCGACAAGATCTAGTACAAGGGCCTTCTTGACGACGTGAACCTTCATCAGTGTGCACTTGCTCAGCTCAAACCTGACCGATCAAATCGTCTCGAATGGTGTCTAAGCTGTGCAACTCAATGAACCGCAAGCGTTCCACTAACCGACCTGCTGTAGGCGATGCCCCTCAGAACCGCTGGAGGTCGGAAGGGACTGCATTAGTGTTAGAGGGTTCTTCTCACGCCATCCGAGCTGATCCACTACAGACTGTGCTACCCTTCTAGTCGTTTGGACGGAAGGGTCAGTCTTCTGACTCGAAGGGGAAGCGCTCTTATGAAGCCTCGTCTCGCTCTCCTCCGAGGCCGATCAGCATTCACTTGGAGGATGAGATCAGATCTCAGTCTTTGTCAGTGATGGACTTCTCGTACCCCTTCAAGAGTAGCTTCGCTGGGGAAACTGTTCGTGACGCCGCTCTGACAGTGTATAAAGCTAGTTCAGCTCAGATGTTGCAGACGAGCTATGAAGCCTTCCTGGAGAAATCGAGCGCAATGTCTCATCGACGACCTGGCTCGGCTTCACTTCACAGCCTCCCACACTGGCAAGATCGTTAGCCAAGAGCTTACTGTTAAGAAGACCAACTTTACTCAGGAAAACCAGGCAAGGTGACCAGACAGGAGTTGAAGGCAGAAATGATGAAGCTTTGTAAGGAGATGGACGAGCTGAACAAGACAATCACTTCCCAGGAGCACCTTCTGAGTCAGGCTCGGGTCGACATCCAAACGATGGAGTCAAGAGCCAAGGCTGCTGAGGAACGTGCTGACAGAAAAGCGGTTGAGTGTGCTGTAGAAAAGGCTGATCATCAGGCGAAGATGAAGAACTTCGAGTTCTTGGAATCAGTGATGAAGAAGCTTCCTGACTTCGATGACCTGGTGCGACACCTTGCTGACAAGGGGTTCGACATCGTGGTGAACTCAAAGATCACCA